CTTTACCTTTAGTTTTACATTTACCTTTACCTTTACCTTTACCTTTACCATTACCTCTGCCTTTTCTTTTTCCTTTACCCTGACCTTAACCTTTATCGCCCTTTAACTTTACCATCTTGATCATTATTTATTCATAATCACCTAGACCAAAACTAAGATGATTGACTGCGGACATGTAGTGCAATGTGGCCAGAAACCCAGGCATAACAAACATAAACAAAACCATGTGCACTTCCAACCCTTAGCAAACAGCAAACGTTGCCCGCGATGAGAGTGGCCGAAAGCTTTTCCAGTAAGTGCTGCTGCATGGCGCAAGCGCCTATTTACATTTTTGGCTAAGCAATTGGTGCGTGGAATACAAAGCTTTCGAGAAACAACAACATCTTTGGAGCTGGAACATTGAGCACACTGGACGATAGCAGTGCGTACACCAGAGCACTTTCATATGATGGGCGTGCATGTATGTATGTATGTACGTACATTGGGGATATGTATGTATATCCATACCCTGCAAAAAATGCGACTAATCCGGGATGAATCAGGGAGCAATCGCAAAGGAGCATGCGACTAATACCACTTTTGATATCTTTGTATGGAATGAACTGTTCGCTTTTGTTCGAGCATATGTCCTATGAAGAGACTAATGGTTCCCCTTTATACCCGAGCGGGTACAAAACGCGACTAATCACTCTTAAAAAAAAATAAAAATTAAAATTTAGCCCAGCTGCGATTCGAACCAAGATGCTCAGATACTCTCTCTACGTGCCATTAGAGATGAGTCGGGGAGTAATTGATCTCCAATATTATAGCCGTAAGGGATGTGTCGAGACTAATTGATCTCCATTAGTACCCGTATGAGACTAGTTGCGACTAATTAATGCCCAATTGTACCGTATTGAGAGTAATATCGGATACTACTCTCTTTAGAGATTAGTCGCACAATTTGTAGGCAGGCTACGTACGTATTCGTTTATGTGTGTGTGGCTCAAGCAATGCTTTTTAATGGAAAGCAGGCAGCAGCTTTTCGGGCTGTTCAGGCAGGGCTA